CCTTGCATTTAGACAATTAATCTGTAGGTATGTTTGATATACTGGTCAAAAATGCATAGCCTGAATGCACTGTAAGTGGCTTTGGATAAAAGCGTCTGCAAAATGCATAAATTATTATTATTATTAATTATTAAATTAATTATGTTTGTGACCATGAGCTGCATTGCCTGAAATAGTCTGAACTGTGAGAACGCAAGGGTTTCATAAATGGAATGGAAATGATCTAATGGATAGAAAACACAAATCCTATTAATTGCATGTTTGTTTGTTTTTTAATATATTTAATATAATATATATATTTTTTTTAACAAACTTAGGAGTAACATTTATAATGAATGTATTCTGTTTTGGAAGGACGTAGTATTGGGTTTTACTGAGTATGCACAATCTAAAAGGAAACAGTTTTATGTGTAGTGAATCTGATTTTTGTTTCTTGCAAGATTTCACATCCACAAACATAAATATTCAAACTCTAGACCTCTCTCCTTCGTTTTTATAAAAGATTTTGAGCAACACCTTTCATTAATCCAGTTGTCTAAGAACAAAAAAGGCTTAAAAACGTTATCTATCTATAACTCTTTTCCTATCTTTAACGACATGTAAATCTAATTTTATTCTTTCAGTTTGTAATGTATTAACAACCCCCTTTTCCTTGTTTTTTTCCCCTGTTCTTTTTTGTTTGTTTGCCTCTACTTAATTTTTTGTTATTATTGTTTATCATTTTTATGGTATTCTACGTGTACTATTCTTGATTTTTGAGTATTAATTAAAAAAAAAATTATAATAATAAAAACAACAACCGCACATTTCGGTAATTACGTCACCGACACGCGCCGCTCGATCGTGATTTGAAATAGTTATACATTTTTGGCCATATAATTAACTTGAAATATTAGTTCATTCAAATTAAAAAAAAAAAAATTTTTTAAACAAAATGTGTTCTGATGCAATTGACTGTAAACGAACTGTAGTGACCCCAGCAGCCTCTAGAGGCCGCTGTTAACCCGCCGGCGCTGAGAGGTCACGTGATCCTCGTTCCGATGCGGTTTGAATGTGTTGCATGTGTGAACGCGCGCTTAACGGCTCCAGTAACGGCTTACGGTAAAGACGTTAATTATTCGATTTTCAATTAACAAAGTTTCATAGATTTTCATGAACTGTGTTCACATTCTATTACGATCACAAATGTAACTTCTAATGATCTGTTCAATCGAAGGTTATGTCGCCTACTAATGGCGTTTAAAATAGTAGTAATGTTGTTGTTAAACGTTTATATCGGATTTTAATGACATGTTCATGTGTTTTCCGTCGTCTGCAGGTCATTAATTGGTTGTTTGAGGTGACCGTGATGGATGTGGAGTTCGATAGGTCTCTTCTCAGGGTCCACATAAACTACAATAACTTCCCGGCTAAGTTATGGCGTTTAATAAACAATCCCCAAAACGACTCGGTCTTCTGGAGCCCAGATGGAGAGAGCGTGATCGTCGACCAGCAGCGGTTCGAGGACGAGTTGCTGTCGCCGCTCAAACAAGATGCTAAGCTGTTCAAGACCACCAACTTCACCAGCTTCATCCGGCAGCTCAACCTCTACGGCTTCCGGAAGGTTTGTGACAGGTCCTTCAAGGACAGACGCCGAAACCTGCACCACTTCCACAATCCCGTCTTCAGACAGGGTCGGCCAGAGCTTCTGGTGCACATGAAGAGGCTGACCATCAGTAACAAGGCCAAGATGGAGGCCGGAGAGCAGGTGACCTGTCGGCCCCCGCGCCGCGACCATCAGCGGTCGCAACACAACGCCGCAGATGAGAAAAGAGGCCAGTTTAACGTTCACACACTAGACTGAGCAACGTAAACACGAGTGGTGTCCAGCGTTGGGGAAAGTTACTTTTAAAAGTAATGCGTTACGCCATAAAAAAGTAACTCATTACGGTACTTAGGTATGGAAAGTAATGCGTTACGTTACTTTTGCGCTACTTTTTAAATCTGGACAGGGCTTGCTTGTTTGTTTTTAAAATAAAAAATTATATTTCTGGCAAATATAAAAGCCTTTCACACCTAAAGTGAAATGAATAAGCCTCAGGCTGAAGGGAAAGTACATTTACGTCCGTACAGTAGAATGCAGAAGAAGACATTTCAACACACTTCAGCAGTAAACAAACACAAATAAAGTAATTTGTGCTTATTAGTACGCTTGAACTGGATCATCGAAGCTCAGAAGCTAATAGAACGGTATTAAATACATAAAGGATATTTGTGTTTAATGTTTAATTATTGCAGGTTTGCGTCATATTCTGAGTTGGCGTTATTTTTATTCATTTTGAGGAATACTGAATCTGTGTTTTAGAAATCGGGAGTACAGAGGCGTTGTGTGCGCTGTGTGAACATGATGTAGTTCTAGACTAAATGTGAATGTGCATTAATTCATCCCACTCACAAAAAACAGATTTAGTATTCATCAAAATGAATGCAAACTCAGAATATGACGCAAACCTGCAATAATTAAATATGTTAAATAACACAAATGTATCTAATCCCATTTTATTAACCGATATCTTTGCTGCTGGCCTTTGAAGATCCAGTGCAACCGTACTAATAAGCACAAATGACTTTAGAGAAACTAACAATTGTGCTTCATTGTTTTGTTATTGCTGAAGAGTGTTTCTTCTCCTGCGTTCTACTGTACAGACCTGAATTTACTTTTGCTTCAGCCTGAGGTTTATTCATTACACTTTTTGGTGTGAAAGGGCTTTTATATTTGCTATAAATAGAACTTCTTATATTAAAAACAATCAAGCCATATTTTGAAAGTAACGTAACGCGTTACTTTCCACAAAAAGTACCGAGGTTACGTAATTAGTTACTTTTTTTAGGGAGTAACGCAATATTGTAATGCATTACTTTTAAAAGTAACTTTCCCCAACACGGCGTTTCCATGTCCAAAAACATGATCGTGATCAGACAGAGAAAGCCTATCTATAGAGTTTTATACTCATCTGCTCTGAATATCTAAATGTGTATCAATGATCAAAGCATCTGTTTTGATAAATGTGTTGTTTACCTTGACAAGAGAGCACAGCAGGCACGCTCTCAAATGCCGCAGATCTTTCGGGACAGTCTCCAGAGACATTCCTGTCGCTCTGATGAAATGCACTTGAAATTAAATGAATAAAAGCTAGTTCTGGAGGCCTCGGAACAACGATTGTTTCGACGAGCTGTTAGCGCTTGATAGCCGGCGCAGAGTAATGACGTCACTGACGCGCGCCGCTCAATACGTTGCAAGTGTCTTACCAAAACACTAAGCAATGTTTCGGAAAGATTTAAGCTTAATATGCCTGTGCATTTTGTGGTCGAGAAAAATTATATATATATACATATACATAAGAAGAATGTAAACCAAATTTTGCACATTTTATAAATGACTTTAAATTATATGTAAATCTCTTAAAGCAAGCAAAAAAGCACTGAGAACATTGAACTTTATGTAATTTTCTTCCTTTCTAAATTTATTTTCTTTCTCTGGCAGCTAATAATGTTGATAATGTGAATATGTAATACCTCATGTTCTTGTGGCATTGAATTAATAAAGCATTAAAAACTATTTTTGGCCATATAATTAACTTGAAATATTGGTTTATTCAAATGCTGTCCCTTACCTTGCATTTAGACAATTAATCTGTAGGTATGTTTGATATACTGGTCAAAAATGCATAGCCTGAATGCACTGTAAGTGGCTTTGGATAAAAGCGTCTGCAAAATGCATAAATTATTATTATTATTAATTATTAAATTAATTATGTTTGTGACCATGAGCTGCATTGCCTGAAATAGTCTGAACTGTGAGAACGCAAGGGTTTCATAAATGGAATGGAAATGATCTAATGGATAGAAAACACAAATCCTATTAATTGCATGTTTGTTTGTTTTTTAATATATTTAATATAATATATATATTTTTTTTAACAAACTTAGGAGTAACATTTATAATGAATGTATTCTGTTTTGGAAGGACGTAGTATTGGGTTTTACTGAGTATGCACAATCTAAAAGGAAACAGTTTTATGTGTAGTGAATCTGATTTTTGTTTCTTGCAAGATTTCACATCCACAAACATAAATATTCAAACTCTAGACCTCTCTCCTTCGTTTTTATAAAAGATTTTGAGCAACACCTTTCATTAATCCAGTTGTCTAAGAACAAAAAAGCCTTAAAAACGTTATCTATCTATAACTCTTTTCCTATCTTTAACGACATGTAAATCTAATTTTATTCTTTCAGTTTGTAATGTATTAACAACCCCCTTTTCCTTGTTTTTTTCCCCTGTTCTTTTTTGTTTGTTTGCCTCTACTTAATTTTTTGTTATTATTGTTTATCATTTTTATGGTATTCTACGTGTACTATTCTTGATTTTTGAGTATTAATTAAAAAAAAAATTATAATAATAAAAACAACAACCGCACATTTCGGTAATTACGTCACCGACACGCGCCGCTCGATCGTGATTTGAAATAGTTATACATTTTTGGCCATATAATTAACTTGAAATATTAGTTCATTCAAATTAAAAAAAAAAAAATTTTTTAAACAAAATGTGTTCTGATGCAATTGACTGTAAACGAACTGTAGTGACCCCAGCAGCCTCTAGAGGCCGCTGTTAACCCGCCGGCGCTGAGAGGTCACGTGATCCTCGTTCCGATGCGGTTTGAATGTGTTGCATGTGTGAACGCGCGCTTAACGGCTCCAGTAACGGCTTACGGTAAAGACGTTAATTATTCGATTTTCAATTAACAAAGTTTCATAGATTTTCATGAACTGTGTTCACATTCTATTACGATCACAAATGTAACTTCTAATGATCTGTTCAATCGAAGGTTATGTCGCCTACTAATGGCGTTTAAAATAGTAGTAATGTTGTTGTTAAACGTTTATATCGGATTTTAATGACATGTTCATGTGTTTTCCGTCGTCTGCAGGTCATTAATTGGTTGTTTGAGGTGACCGTGATGGATGTGGAGTTCGATAGGTCTCTTCTCAGGGTCCACATAAACTACAATAACTTCCCGGCTAAGTTATGGCGTTTAATAAACAATCCCCAAAACGACTCGGTCTTCTGGAGCCCAGATGGAGAGAGCGTGATCGTCGACCAGCAGCGGTTCGAGGACGAGTTGCTGTCGCCGCTCAAACAAGATGCTAAGCTGTTCAAGACCACCAACTTCACCAGCTTCATCCGGCAGCTCAACCTCTACGGCTTCCGGAAGGTTTGTGACAGGTCCTTCAAGGACAGACGCCGAAACCTGCACCACTTCCACAATCCCGTCTTCAGACAGGGTCGGCCAGAGCTTCTGGTGCACATGAAGAGGCTGACCATCAGTAACAAGGCCAAGATGGAGGCCGGAGAGCAGGTGACCTGTCGGCCCCCGCGCCGCGACCATCAGCGGTCGCAACACAACGCCGCAGATGAGAAAAGAGGCCAGTTTAACGTTCACACACTAGACTGAGCAACGTAAACACGAGTGGTGTCCAGCGTTGGGGAAAGTTACTTTTAAAAGTAATGCGTTACGCCATAAAAAAGTAACTCATTACGGTACTTAGGTATGGAAAGTAATGCGTTACGTTACTTTTGCGCTACTTTTTAAATCTGGGCAGGGCTTGCTTGTTTGTTTTTAAAATAAAAAATTATATTTCTGGCAAATATAAAAGCCTTTCACACCTAAAGTGAAATGAATAAGCCTCAGGCTGAAGGGAAAGTACATTTACGTCCGTACAGTAGAATGCAGAAGAAGACATTTCAACACACTTCAGCAGTAAACAAACACAAATAAAGTAATTTGTGCTTATTAGTACGCTTGAACTGGATCATCGAAGCTCAGAAGCTAATAGAACGGTATTAAATACATAAAGGATATTTGTGTTTAATGTTTAATTATTGCAGGTTTGCGTCATATTCTGAGTTGGCGTTATTTTTATTCATTTTGAGGAATACTGAATCTGTGTTTTGTGAGTGAGATGAATTAACGCATATTCATATTTATTTTAGAGCTACAGTAACATCTGATTTCTCTCAGCATGGGGACAGCAGAGCTGTCGGTCAATACATTGGGGGAAAAAAGTAACTTGCGTTACTTATTTGAAAAAGTAACTCTGATATTCTCATCAATTAAAAAGTAATGCGCTACTTTACTAGTTACTTGAAAAAAGTAATCTGATTACGTAACTCGCGTTACTTGTATGAACAAAGTATGAGTGGTGACCAGTGTTGGGGGTAACGCATTACAAGTAACGCAATCAGATTACTTTTTTCAAAGTTTCTGACCTTCGATGATCCAGTTCAAGCGTACTAATAAGCACAAATTACTCTAGACGAACATTTGTGTGTTTGTTTATTGCTGAAGAGTGTTGAAATCTTCTTCTGCATTCTACTGTACGGACGTAAATGTACTTTCCCTTCAGCCTGAGGCTTATTCATTTCACTTTAGGTGTGAAAGGCTTTTATATTTGCCAGAAATATAATTTTTTATTTTAAAAACAAACAAGCAAGCCCTGCCCAGATTTAAAAAGTA